CACCCGCCGCCCCCGCCCCTCGAGCCGTCGCGTCCCTCCCGGCCCCGCCCCGCCGCGGGCGCTGCCGGGAAGTGTAGTCCGGACGGAGGCGACAAAGTGTAATCCGGGAATCCAGGACGTGGCCGCAGAACCCCACGGGAAATGTAGTCCAAAAGCGAGGAAACGGCCAGCCTCCTCCACAAGGGGCTCTGGGAAATGCAGTCCGCAAAGCGAGAGCGTGAGGGAGGCGGGAAGGGAAACCGCTCGCGGGAAGCTGCGCACACCCCGGGATCCTCCGTTCTAGGTGTCCGCACAGTTGAGCCAACCGGTCCCGAGGGCGGGTTCTGGGGTCTGCCTGCTTCAAAGCACTGCTGCACCACTTCTCAGATTTGTGACCTTGAGCAAGTTTGAGTTTGGACCCTGCTGTGCTGCTTCCATAAGAGTGTGCTCAATAAGAAATAAATGTCAGCCGTCTTAAACTGGGAAAATAGATCCCAACTGTGCGAACCCCATTTAAAAATCACTAATAACACTTTGTGCTTGGAATCCAGTGGGCATTCGTAGATGGGCTAGAAACCCTGCGGGAGAGACCAGCAGGGTACTGTACAGCCCCTATTTTGAGGATAGGTACCTGTGATGGAAGGCGTCTCACCGTGAGGCTCTCTTCTAAAACCTGGAAATATTAACAAAAGGTTAATTTTACAGAAGATGTAGTGGTGAGATGAAGACGAAGAGCCACCTCACGCAGAGCAGATACTTTATTAGAATTTCATCGTCTGTATTCCACGTCCTCTTCATACAATCTCCACCCACTCCCCACTCAACAAAAATACTAGTAAATAGAGAAGTAACTATAGAAGACAGCTCATGGGTGTCTCTTGTCCCCAGCTTGTCCAACTTCTCAACCAAAACACTCTGACTCTAGCTATGAAGGAAAGTATTTCTCTGTATTATGACATTTCATATTTGCTTCTCACAGACGTGGAGATTCGTAACAACACCTCCCTTATTACAGATAGAGTTAAAAAAAAAAAAAATCCCAAAGTCATACAAATAATAAGTGGTAGAGTTAAGATTAAACCCAGCTTTGTATGATTCGAAAGCCAGCACTCTCCATCACCTCAATATACTCCTAGTTAGTAGTAATATACCCCTAGATAGTAGGCAACTCATTGTCATACAGGTAAAATAAATAAATCCCAATTAGGAAGCTCTGGGTGAAGACCAGGGTTTGAATCCCAGGTGACCAATTACCCACTCTGTGACCTTGAGCAAGTTACTTAACTTCTCTGGTTTCCTCATCTGTAGAAAAGGGATGATAACATCTGTTACCTGGCAGATAGTAAAATTCAATAAAGATGGCTATTATCGGAATTGCAGGGCAAAGAGTAGTAGATAAAAGCGAGGTATTTTGGAAGTACAAAGAACAATGTTCTATGGGTTCTGCCCGGAGCTGGTGCAGTTTGCCTTAACAGACTGGTTTTAAACTTTTGGGTGATCTTCTTCCAGGTAATTTCAGGCTTATGAATCTCCTAGGCGAAGAGTCCTAAAGGACTGAGTGAATCAGATAACAAGGAAACCACCCCACCTGCTTACCTGCCCCAGCCCCACAAAGTTTGGTCTATAAGTAATGAGGAACCACGCAGGTTTCTGATTTTGGACTAATCACCAAGTTGCAAAGCCTGTTTTCTCGCCTCTAAAAAGAGATACCAACCCTGCCTACCTCACAAGATAGCTGATTGCAAAGTTCAAACAATATATATTGGGAAGTGTTTTTAAAAGTATAAAGTAGTACAGGGCTGTCTGGTTAGCTCAGTTGGTTTAGAGCACAGCCTTATAACCCAATGGTCATGGATTCGAATCCCCATACTGGCCAGCCACCAAAAAAAAAAAGTACGAAGCATATGATTATAACCAATGTAAATACCTAGCAAGATAGGATGAGGTTCATAACCCATCCCCTAGGAAATAACTAAAAAAAAAAAAAAGATGCACCCAAAAAGAAAATACAAACAACCAAATACCAATAGCAAAACCCTCCATGCATGGAAGATGTTTTCACAGCTTTATGTATAATAATAATCATCATCATGACCCTCATCTTTTAAGGAAGGGTTTATCCTATTACAGCAACACTAAGATGTGTATCACAACCATTAAGAAATGAATATGTAGAAACTTGGTTATTTAGTGAAAGAATCCAAATTAGTATATATCTTATAAATGCAACTATAAAATCCATATGGTCACAGATTGAAATATACAAAAGGAAACCATTTGATGAGTTAGCATGGTGCAACTATGCATGCTCAATTGACTTTAAAAAAAATAAAAAGCATGCAGTGTAAACCAAGAGTTCCAACAATGCCTGCAACTTAGACTCACCAAGAGGCCTTAAAAAATGGATCAATGTCCAGATCCCTCCCGTTTATTGGGCTCTAGTACCACCATTATAAGCACTCTAGCCCTTCCTTTCCAGTTCAGATCTCTCTAAAGTTGGTACTAAGGAGGTAACATGGAAGAAATGGAAGTTATCTTTGCCTTGAAAAAACCTTTCCATGGAAGTGCTTCCTGCTTAATGAGAGGTCACTTCAAAAGGTAACCAAACAGCAGCTATCATTCACTGAATTTTACATGCTTTGAATCCTCACAACCCTAAAAGGGGTGTCAATTATTCCCATTTTACAGCTATTGAATTGTAAAAGTGGAGATCAGAAAGAGGTTAAGTAACTTGCTCAAGGTCAAACAGCTGATTAGAAAGGGACACCAGGTCTGACACCTATGACACTTGACACGTCACTGGTCCTTTCACACTTGTATAAATTCAGCCACATCTCATCAAGGAAGACCCAACCAAAGCACACAGAATTCTAACTGAATTCTAATTGAAAGGTTGCTTTTTAGGAAGAGGGATAGAAAATTTCCATTGTTTTCATGTAATTTCCAACATTTCCCAATTTCTTTTTCCCTATAGATGTAGGGAAAAAGGCATTTCCCTTCAAGGCATGTAGTTTTTTTGGAAGAAGTGTTTGTTTCCCTTGGACCTGATCAAGCCGCAGTCACTCTTGGTTGGGTGTAATCTGGGAGAGTCAATGGCACTTCACATGACACATGTGGAAGGCAAACTCACCAGTGGTGTGCAGTTTATTTCTTGACACTCCCAGTCATGCTGGCAACATTTTCCCCCTTTAATAATGAGGTTTCAGGAGCATTTTACCATTACAAAATGGTGCTTTAAGATATTAAATCAGGGCCAAGCCCATGGCACACTCGGGAGAGTGCGGCGCTGGGAACGCAGCGGTGCTCCCGCCGCGGGTTCGGATCCTATATAGGGATGGCCGGTGCGCTCACTGGCTGAGTGCAGTGCAGCCGGTCACAAAAAGGACAAAAAAAAAAAAGATATTAAATCAATTTTAAAAAGAAAAGAAAAATCAAAAGAACATTTATGTGAGAAGTCTTTTTATTGGGGTACCTCCCTTTACTGGCATAAAAATGAAAGTTCCAGATTAACCATGTCATTAATTTTCAAAATCAATTTTTTAAAAAAATACTTATTTATAAATATATCCTTCTACATTAAATCTACTTCCCAACCCACAAAGACCCCACTACTGTTAACTTCTGTGGATAGATTTTCATTTACTCATTTCATCCAGTATACAAAATTTCCACGTTTTTGTCAGCAGTTTAAAAAACAGAGAATCTTAAGGTTCAAATGACTTTCCAGCAAGTCACCCAAAGAAAACCACCAATATCCAAAACTTTTAGAGCAATAAAAATTTCTATTTTCCAAAAAGTTATTTACAGACTGAAATTTAAACTCAACATCGCCATCAATGTAATAATACAAGAGCATACAAAGCCCTAGGAAAGAGGAAGTATTTCATTACGAAGTATTTGTGATCAAGAAAATACTGCTCACCTTTAAATAAAGAACAGGAAAAGCAGAAGAAAAATAAATATGCTTAAAGATGGACATTTTCACAAACAAAAAAGTACACATATAAGGAACAAAGGGAAAATATGCTTGAGCTTCAAAATAACTCCACCAAAATTTGATACAAAGCAAGTTTGTCTTAGACTCTCCTCTGTGTTTAGTTACAAAAATACAAAAAGAGGCTTGCTGGAGAAGAATTTCACCCAGCTGAATCCATGATATGCACAGCCATTAGACAGGGCCTGCAGCAGTAACTTCAGCCTATTGTTGCTAGCAAAACCATTGCACCAAATAACCTAAATATCTTTTTACTGTTTGGACAAATAAATTCCCATAATGACCAACTGATGCTGGTCAAAAATAACTCAATGTAACTCCTGCAAATGAGCAGTTTCAGTTTTAAGAAGATCCTTGAGAGCCAATGGGTAAAACAGTGTCATGTGTTTCATACAAGTCCAAGCCCACTTTTAGTCAAAGTGGATTACATTTACCTGGATTCCATTTTTCTTTTAAATCCATTTTTACACTGAACAAGTATATTACTTGTCTGATTCTGTTTCCCTAAATCCTCTATCTCTTCCCTCCTGGCTTTTATTGGTCTCTGACGTCCCTGGAGGTCTCCTTCAGAGCCAGCTCCAACTCTGTGTCCCAGCCCAGCTCTGGCCACCCTCCCACTTTGTCTTCTCTGCACCCCACTGAGACCCCAATGCACAAGTACAATAACAGCAGAAAGTAAACAGTGTATGCAAAATAAACACATTCTAGTTAAACTCTTTAAGTAGGGCTAGCTGGGTAGCTCAGTTGGTTAGACGCATTATTGTAACACCAAGATCAAGGGTTCGGGTCCCTATACCTGCCAGCCGCCAAAAAAAATAAAAAGTCTTTAAGGGTTTATCCAAGAAGATTTTCACTGAAATCAGATCAACAATGTCCTGTGACTATGGCTCTGACAAAAACTTATGTTAAAAAAACAATCTGTTAAAACAGGCTGTTGCCAATATTAGAAATTACATAATAATTATGTCAAAAAGCCATTAACACAAAAATGTACAATTAAACTAGCAAAGTCCTTGACATTTATCATCAACCCCACTATAAAATATTGCACATGATATTCAGTCTTTTCTTTTTGTCTGTAAGGGGAGCAAAAAAGAAAAAAACAATAAAAAGGTTCAAACTGTTCAGACACTAGATTAAGTAAGTCTAACTTGAAAGTACACTGCTTGCGGCATGTACTCATTCTAGTTCAATGCCATGCCCAAACAGCGTGAGCCTGGGTACTGAAGGGCGTAATGGGGAAGAGTGTTGCATCTCAATCGCAAATCCTTGAGATCCGAGGGGACTGGTCTGGCATGTATAACACGGGTGGGGAGCCCACACTGCTTGAAGGACTTCGGAAATGTACGTCAAAGGAGCTCGGTGTAATCCCAATCACAGTATCATTCTGGGGCACTTCACCCTTCAAAAAATCATCATCTTCATCTTCTACCATCTCCTGTAGAAAGAACGGAGATCATCAGTAAGATTGCAAGTGACAGTTTGAAAAGCTTTCAAGAATTCCTTTCCTCAGGAATGTACTAATTCCTGGATAAGGTGAAAATATCTTAATTTGAAAAAGCTTCCCCTGATATGCACTTTTTTATAATGAGCCACCCACATAATTGTTCATCACACTTTGTAACTATTTGCTTAAATTCTTATTTTCAAACAGATTTTAAGCTCAATAAGGGCAGGTAACATGACATGGCATTCTTGCTCAATGTTATAGCCTTCGTATCTAACACAAGATGAATGAATGAATGACCCTCCCCCAATGTAAAATATAAGGAAAAAATAAAATAAGCTTTGGAATGATCACTTATAAAAAAGGAGACAGGCACATTAAAGGTGACTTTTAATATGGAAATAAACGTGCTACAAAGAAACAGCATAGTGACATTCTTTATTACTGGATTCTAATTTTCTTTTTTGGCAATAACTGTCCTACCTCCACCTAATGAGTACTGGAGGATACGCTGCAGATCTGCATCTTTACCACACATTCATGAAGATCTACAAAATGAATGCAAACTTCTGGGGTAATTTCAACATAAAGCAATTTGAGATTGTTACTCAGTGGTAATGATCACGTTGTAAAGATCTAAATTCATTTAGCTAATTTTCAATTAATCTTCACTTATTTTTTTTTTTTTCCTTTTCGTCTTTTTTCGTGACTGGCAACGGATCACAACCCTCAGTGTCGCGCCCGTACCGGACCGGGACTGGCAACGGGATCGCAACCCTCGGTGTTGCGCCCGCACCTCATTCAGCCAGTGAGCGGGAACCGGTCTGTATGTGGGATCCGAACCCTCGGCGGGAGCGCCGCCGCACTCCCAAGCGGCGCACTGTAGCAGTGCGCCACCGGGCCGGCCCTTAATTTCACTTTTAAAGTCAGTATGTGAAGTGTCTGATTTAAACAATTCATTAAAAAACCAAAAATTCTTTTAGTGAGAAGAACATAACCTGGGTTTGGGATTTTGAAAAGGCAGATAAATATGGTGTAGTATTTTTGAAGTATAACATTGCTGTTTACAGTAACAACAAAGGAGATGCCCAGAAAGTGTGCTGAATCACAAATTTACCTTTTTAATGGGTTTCTTAAACTCCTGAAGCTCTTCTGCATTCATCCCTTCCCATATCTGATATATAGGATCAATGAATTTTTTTGACCTGTCCGCAAAGATCACATTTCAAAGTCAAGTTAAATACTTCAATGAAAGTCAAAATGTGTTTAGTTCTTTTTCTCACAAGACCCATTTCCAAAAACCAAGAAACGAAAGCTATGGCTCAAAGAGTAATAATGTAAAAAAAAAAACTGTATGAGCGCCGCCGCGCTTCCCAAGCGGCGCACCATCCAGTGCGCCACCGGGCCGGCCCCAATGTAGCTCTTTCTAAGAGTTCATCTGCTCATATAGATGGTTATGGAGTTTGGATGTGATGTTCCCCCAAAACTCTTGTGAAAATTTGATTCCCAATGTGGCAGTGTTGGAAGCTGACTGGGTCATGGGGGTGGATCCCTCATGAATGGATTAATGCTCTCCCTAGGTGGGGGGATTAATGAGTTAGTTCTTGCTCTATTAGTTCTCACGAGAGCTGGTTGTTTAAAAGACCCTAGCACCTCCTCTCTCTCTTGCTTCCTCTGGCCATGTGATCTCCTTGTACCCACCGGCTGCCTGCCACTTTCCACCATGAGTAGACGCAGCCTGAGGCCCATGCCGGATGCAGCCGTCCCAGAATCATAAGCCGAATAAACCTCTGTTCTTTATAAATTACCCAGTCTGATTTCTGTTACAGCAATGTGAACGGACTAATACAGATGGAGTACTACACTGACTGTTTCTCATCCTTCCACTTCAAGTGAAATTGTTTCTAACCTTTGCAAAGACTGACAACTGAGTTACAGGATATCCAAATGAAAAATAATTGTAATATTTCAGAACTCTCTTTTTTATATTCCTACAGTAATTTGCTGAAAAACAGTCTAGGAAAAACAACTAATCTAGTTTCAGTCAACCAAGATTTGGGGGACCAGACAAGCCCAGACAGTCATGCTGCTAGTTAAGCAAAATTCTGCTTCCTCATACAAATACAAAGTTAATACTGGCTTGGTGGTTTTTCCAAAATAACCCATCTAGATAATCACTAAACCACTTGGCTTTTGTTTATCCTATGTAACAGTAGGGAACGTGGTCTCTAGAGGAAGGAATAAGTCACTTGGCAGAAAATTATGAGCCAAGGAACTGACACCACTATCCTCATCCCCTTATATGTTTAAACATATAAGTTTAAAGAAAAAAAATTTTTTTAATTGTTGGTTGGTGTCAATCTGGGCTCCTACTGAGGTAAAGATCTATAAAACCTGATGTGCCTATGACACTCAGCAGACTCTACTAGGCATTCCCTACTTTGGGCCTATAAAATATGTGCAAGGAGACCACGAGACTCTAACAAACAGCTAGTAAGGGCCACTTACAACAAAGAGACTCTAAACCCAATCTTAGGAAAAGCAAATATATGTCACATTTAAATTCACCAGTGACAGCGTCAATTGTTGAAGAGCACCTACCTCTTAAGCACACAAGGATCAAAGGGGAAGAAGGTGTCAAGTGGGTTTGTGCAGGTTTGTACCAAGTCCCCTCCAGCCGTATTTCTAATAACTGGCAGCATCTGGCGATTGTTCCTCTCAATGATAGTGTAGCAGAAGACTAGCTGGTATTTACTGTAGAGCACCAAAGCCAACAGAGATGGAGACATTAACATGCTGAAATTACTCTGCATGGACGTGACTTGTGTGTGACAACTGTATTGACCACATAGATATTGCTGAACAAGTGCAAAAAAAAACCCCAAAACAAAGCAGAAAGTAATGCTTATAGGTATAGTTCTCTGGGTCTGCTATTTACAGGTTTGCCAAGGCAAATAAAAGTGTGGCTATCACTTAGAATATGAGACTGGGCTTCGAATAACAGATATTACTCACAAAAAATTAACATGTTTGCAAGGTAAAACTCTTTTAGTTTGCAGTTATATAAAGTGTTTTTATTTTTACTGTTTGCAAAAGAATTAAGAGGTTGGTGGAAAAGGGATTCAGGAGTTACTGAGGGGGAATAGTAGGTGCTGAAAGACTTGGCTCTTGATGAAGAAGAAATTAGGACTTTACTGAAGGAGGGAGACAGGGTTGACTGAGTCATGATCTCAGAAACTGGAAAGAAAGGAACAGGCATGGTGAGAGTCAGACAGACAGAAGAACTCATAATAAACAACAGGACCATTATGGTGACCATTTTTCTGGTAGTTACCGCCATATGACTTAGCTACTTGAAAAATCACTCACTGGACCACATATCCAAGATAAGGATTTAGCTTATTTGTACCACTCTCTATCTCCTACCCTGCCCTCTCACAGTATTCATTCATTCAGATATTCATTCTCAGGTTCTCAGATCACTACTGCAACTTTAAGCAACATACTTCTGTTTCCGTTCCATTAGCCTGGGATCACATTTGATTCCTCCTTCTGGTAGGAGTGCAAGCCAGCAAAACTACACTGGAGAACAGTTTGCAGTTTCTGGTAAAGCTAAAGATCTGCGTCTCCTACAACCCAGCAACTGCACTTCCAAGTGTGTCACAAGGAAGCATGTGCTTGCACACTGGGACACAGACAAGAACATTCTTAAATTGCTATTCCCAATACTGAAAAACTAACAGCTTACATTCCAACAAAGACATGATAAAAATTAATAGAACATTACACAGCAGTTAAAAATCAAAATAAAGCTTTATGTGTCAATATGAATCTCAAAACCATGAAGTAAGCAAAAACAACAGCTATAGAATTGTACATAAATTCTTACGCACAGACTTTTATTTAGACCCCCTACTCTTATTCTATTTTACTCCTTACCTCAGCTGCACATGCCAACCCCAAATCTAGGCTCTCTGACCAGTCAGCTCATCAAGTGCAGCCCTCTGCCCCTCCCTGGAGAACATTCTAGGGGCCACTGCCTCAGCTTCGTTTCATCAGTCCTTACTCTTCCAGTTGTTTCCCGTGTTCCAGCTATGTGCTAAAACCTTTCCCCCACCTAACAGTATTGCTGATTGGTTGCTTTATTCCTTTTTTTCATCCTTTAATATCATTTTCGAGATCTCAGGAGAGATAGGATACCTTGAACTATTTGTCCAGTGACAAGTTAAGGTTGCTGAATGAGACAGTCTAAAGGGGACTGAGAAGGGGCAGCTCACTTGGGAGAGTGTGGTGCTGATAACCCCAAGGCCACGGGTTCAGATCCCTATATAGGGATGGCTGGTTCGCTCACTCAGGAGAGTGTGGTGCTGACAACACCAAGTCAAGGGTTAAGATCCCCTTACCAGTCATCTTTTAAAATAAATAAATAAATAAAGGGGACTGAGGCACGAAAAAGGAACAGACTCTTAACTGTTGATGATTTTAAGCTAGGAACCTGCCTGAATATCCTAATGAAATGCCCAAGGTCTCCAATTCACTTTCTATGTGCAGCATTGCAAAGGAGCACCCATCCTTGCAATGCTGCCCGCATCCAAATCTCAGCTCTGCCACAGTCTAGCTATATGACTTCAAGCAAGTAATTTAACCTCTCTGTGCCTCCATCTCCCTGTTTATAACTGGGGGTTAAAAATACAGTCACAGGATTGTGTGCAGGCTAAATAAGTTCTATGTAAAGTGCTCAGAACTGTGTTGGGCACATAGTAACAGCTATATATTACCTGTAACTACTAGGTTTGAGATAATACAGTCCTTCTCTAAACCAATCTCCTACTAGTGGGCATTTATCTCATGTCTAGTTTATTTTTATTACTATTACAAGAATTATTCTAATAAGCATCTTTGGTTTATACCTCTCAGTCTACTAGTCACCTTCTTTATTTCAAAACGCCTAGGCTTCTGTCAAATTATCACCTTTGAATAAAATGTAATAGCAATTTCTAATGCCACTGAAATATAAAAACAATAGCTTCACTGCAGTGTTTCCTTGTTTGTTGGTATTTTAATGTTTTATTATTATTGTTATTAATTTCACAGACATTTAATAAATTTTACAATACTAATACAAATTCACCTTCAAATAACTTCCATCAAGAAAGTGTAAATAGAAATTTACAAGTAAAAAAAAACAAACAAAAAATCCAACAAAACAGAGAGTTGTACAAGAAATTTATAAGTAAAAAAAAAAAACGGCGGGAGGGAGGAGCAGTGGTGGACTAATGGGTACAAAATGATGCTGTCTACCCTAAGTGAATCATTGTGCCATATATGCACATATTGAAACAACACACAGTTCCCCACAGATGTGTACAGGCACATGTTAAAGTATTATAAATAAAAATATATTTAAAAAAAAAGAAAGTATAAATAACTTACTTTGTGATGGTAGCAAAAAAGTTAACCACTGTGGGCAGGCAAATCTTCAGAGGATTTAGCTGACTCATCACTATACGTTCAAAATTTAGACTTTGAAGATACCTCAAACCTTTGATTAAAAAATAAAAGATTTTAATAGGTACAAATATAACTGAAAAGTCTAAGATATCTTTAAAAGCAAAGATTATCACACATTAAAAAAATAATTAGTTACTTGCTTTTTAAAAAGGCCCATGTAGTCACACAACGTATGGCCCAGAAGAATAGCACTACGCTAATCACATTCGTTTATGACTAAGCCAGCTTTTCTAAAGAAAACAGTGTATTCTTTATTATTATAAAAATTTCATTAACTTGAAAAATAGAAGCAATGAAATATAAGATATAATGTACCTAAGTATCTTTCCTCCCGCAGGATTGAAGAGAAGCTTGAAAAGAGGAAGAGACTTTTCTAGATCACCCAGCTCAGGCTGGAGTTCAGATCCTCTCTTCTAACTTGAAAGCTTCTTATCTTATTCCCAGGAATCCCCTTGTCAATGCATGAGCGTGCTCATCCACACAGCTGAGTACCCTCCAGCTTCCATTTAATCACCAAGTCCTTTGCTGGGCTCCCCATTGTCTCATTCTGTCTGTGAACCTTAGATTTCTTTTTTTTTTTTTTTTAAAGATGACCGGTAAGGGGATCTCAACCCTTGGCTTGGTGTTGTCAGCACCACGCTCAGCCAGTGAGCAAACCAGCCATCCATATATAGGATCCGAACCCGTGGCCTTGGTGTTATCAGCACCGCACTCTACTGAGTGAGCCACAGGCCGGCCTGAACCTTAGATTTCTGACCATCACTTTTTCTACTCATGTTTCAGATTCTTTCTCTCTCTGGTCTCAGTGAAGAATACATCTAATCAGGTACACAATTCTTTAGCCAGAGGGAGAAGAGCCCTAAAAAAGGGAATTCACGGGCCAGCTGGTTAGCTCACTTGGGAGAGCACGGTGCTGATAACACCAAAGTCAAGGGTTCAGATCTCCATACCAGCCAGATGCCAAAAAAAAAGGGGGGGGGGAGTTGTTCAATGGCGGTTTAGGAGAGCGAGTTTGTACCCTCAGGAGTCATCCTCCCAAAATGGCTTTTGCTTCACCTCACTGGAATCTCCTGTGTGTCCTGCCACCACACAAAACTCTGGAGAAAAATCCATGTCCCTTGGGTCAGGACCAGACCAGACATCTCCTCCTTGAGGCTGGAGGAATTCCCTGGCTCATCTTTCACTTTTACTGGGTCCCTTCTTCTTTTCTTCCTTCTTTCCTTACTCTTTCTTTCCTCTAACTTACTGCCTCTGGTTAGCCACATGGCGTAAGAAAACAGTGTATTCTGGGGCCGGCCCGGTGGCGCACTGCTACAGTGCACCGCTTGGGAGCACGGTGGCGCTCCCACCGAGGGTTCGGATCCCACATACAGACTGGTTCCCGCTCACTGGTTGAGCGAGGTGCGGGCGCAACACCAAGGGTTGCGATCCCGTTGCTGGTCCCGGTCCGGTACAGGCGCAACACTGAGGGTTGCGATCCGTTGCCGGACACGAAAAAAGACAAAAAGGAAAAAAAAAGAAAAAAAAAAAGAAAACAGTGTATTCTTTTAAAGACCCAAGAAGCAGACACACTTTCCTAGTGGGCTGTAATTTGGAATTCAAATATTTGTAAACTCAGCATAGGCCAAGTTTATAGAGGGAAAACAAGACCCTGGGATTCCATTTCAGCTAACAATCATGACAGGCAACAAAACCAAACCACCACCCCATATTAACTTGAATGTTTTAAATTATTAGTGAAGCTGAGCATCACTTTCAGGAATGCATTACTTGTTTGCATTTCTCTCTTTTTCCTAACAAGAAAACTCTGAAGGTAGAAGGAAATTTTAGACAGAGACCACTGTTGAAAATAATGAATATAATTCTCTCCTACTTTACTAAAATATGAGTAAAGACATCACATTTACTTTAAGAGGCAAGCAGATCAACTTGTGCTTAAGTATGTTTTCTTAGAAGTTTCTTTGATGCGTGTGTGTGTGTATATATATTTAAATTTTGCCAGGGCACTGACATATACTATTATAAAAATGACATACATGGGATAATGCCATGGCTTACAAAAATATATCCTCGGGCTGGCCAGTTAGCTCAACTGGGAGAGCATGGTGCTGGTAACACCAAGGTCATGGGTTCAGATCCCTATACCAGCCAGCTGCCAAAAAAACCCAAAAACCAAAACAAAAATATATCCTTTTACCAAGATTCCCACCATTTATTTATACAAAGAAAGGTAGAGATTTTACTACCTTTGTGATAATGCCTTGTCCTCCTACTAGTGCAATACAATTAATTTTAACTTCTCCATTTTTTTAGAGGCATGAAGGACATAGGCAAATATATATGGCAACACATACGTGTTTCAGTTTAGAGCTGTGATTCTCAATTCAAGGAGACTGTACCCCCCAGAGGACATTTAGTAGTGTCCGGAGACAGTTTGATTTTTATTTTTATTTTTTTTGGCAGCTGGCCAGTATGGGGAACCAAACCCTTGACCTTGGTGTTACAAGGCTGTGCTCTAACCAACCAAGTTAACTGGCTGGCCCAAGGAGACAGTTTTAGTTGTCACAACTAGGGGTGATGGGGGTCGCTGTTGGCATCTAGTAGGTGGAGGTGAGGGACGCTAACATCCTACAGTGCACAGGACAGCTCCCCACAACAAAGAATTCTCCCAAAATGTCAGTAGTGCCGAGGCTGAGAAGCCCTGGTTTAGAGGAAACAACCTATTGACCTATTTCAATTACTCATGAAAAGAAACAAGACAAATTGACTTAATTCCATTGTTCTGAGGAACCTGCTTTAACTAAAAATATGCTAATCTAATAAACAAGTTTCATTTGGTAAATTTAAATTATGAATAACCTCCAGGATTTGGCAAAACTGAAAACTGGTGAATTAACTCTCAAGTCTTCAGATGGAGGAGCAAAATCCTATGATCACAGGCTTTAGAGTTGGCCTCGCCCGGCTTCAACTGCTAAGCCTCCCAGTGACTACATGATCTTGGGCAAATAACTTCCCTACGCTTCGGTCTTGGCTGTAAAGTGGGAATACTGCACTTCGCTGGGCTGTTACAAGGACAACACGGGAGACAGTGCATCACAAGCTTTGTACCCAGCCCAAGCGCTCAGCTGCCCCCTGTAGAGTCTTCACATTTCACATCCTCTGCAGCAGGCACTCTCAACCTCAAATCCATCAATGGTTAACGAAGGGGCATGAGAGGTTATTACAGGTTTATGAGCTGTGTGATATTACTTGTAAAAGTTTGAGCGTATGCACAATTTTTTGAATCTACAGTCTTCATCAAAGGAATCACCATTTTAAAAAGGATGTTAGCAGCATCTCACCTCTACCTACTAGATGCCAACAGCAACCCACACCACCCCTGGTTGTGACAACTAAAACCATCTCCAGACACTGCTGAATGTCCTCTGGGGGACACAGTCTCCTCGGGGTGACAAGTGCACAGGGAAAATCCAGTTTGAGCCCAGCAGTCCCAAGTCACTGACCTTCCTTCAAGTTTCCACTTAAAAGCTGCTGGTGTCTAAAGACAAAAGTGTAGAACACAGCTTGGCAGGCTGAATAAAATGGTCCGTGGAGAGCAACATCACAAAAAGCCTTTGTCCCCGAATCCTGGTTATTAAGGTATATGTGCAGCCAATTAACCAAAAGATCTAGGCATGATTTTACAGTACTAGAGAAAAGAAAAATTCATGTCAACTTTACTTGCTTTCATAAAAAAACCAGAGTGACATAAAAACACAGTTAACTGCCTCTCATTCAAACCATGAAAACTGAGTTCTTAGTCTTCTTTAAATATTACCCACGGGCATAGAGGAGAAGCAAACAAAGGAAGGAAAAGGATGGGTGAGTGGGAAGACAACCTTCCAATTATAAGGCACAGCAGCACTGGCCTTCTAGGAACGATGGGTAAGCCCCTAAAAATGTCCCAAGGAATGGAGAACAGTTTCTCCTAATTGACTCAAAAGGGCATCTTCAATGAGCTCCCAGCCCTCAAGGTGATATGGCCAAAGAATACGGGATATTTACCAACATCTCACAAGAGAAAAACAGTCTGGTTGACTACACTATTCCCTATGGGATAATGATGAATTCCTAGGGTCAAGAATTTACGATAGAATGTCTTTTAGTTGTTGGGGCAGAGTTTTTAACGGCATCCTTGCCTAAAGATATTTTCATGAATCACTGGAAGAAACTAGCCTCCTAGATAGGTCTTTCTATTACCTCTAAAAGGGTTTTTCTTCAGCTTTAACAGATACAATTGATTCAGAATGGAAATAAAAAATGACAAACCTACAAAAGGAATCAAAACAGTATACAACACTGTACACCATCCATAAAGACAAACAGATGGAACCTCATGTTCAAGTACAACCACACAGAGCAGATGACAAAAGCCTTGCATATATTTTATACCTAAAAAAGCACATACTTCGTTCTGAAATTGCCTCTTGGAAATATAAACATCTTGCATAGAGTAGGCAGGTGGGGGTGGATGGGGACAGATTTTTTCACTTCAAAGACAGACCAAAAGAATAAGGCAGATACTTCTCTGACTTGAGGAGACAATGCTATATAATCTTTTTAAAGCGTGATATTAAAAAGTACTAGGAAAATTAGGTTACTTACATAAGAGGAATAAATTTAGCTCTTGCCAGAAAGCTTCCAATATAATTTCCAGCAGTTTGCCTGATGATGGCAGGATTATTTGGATCTTGCAGTTTTTTCCAGAGGTGTTCCAAAAATGCTTCCGCAAATCCCTATAAAAAGAGAAGGTCTTGGTCTGATCTTCTTTAATGCTTAAGGTATTCCAACTACCAGAATCCCAAGATTTTTACTTCACCAATGTGGAAAAGTTCCTATATCTCAGTTATACTGCTAGATAAATTATGAATATAATTATCGTGGTTCTTATTTTTAAAAACACCTTGAGATAATACTATTAAAAGCAAAAGGTGCGGGCTGAGCCCGTGGCGCACCTGGGAGAGTGCGGTGCTGGGAGTGCAGCAGCGCTCCCGCCGCGGGTTCGGATCCTATATAGGGATGACTGGTGCGCTCACAGCGCTCACTGGCTAAGCGTGGTGCGGCCGGTCTCAAAAAGGACAAAAAAAAAAAAAAAAAAGCAAAAGGTGTCCCTGGTGTTAAATAATCTAATGGATCTCAAAGCAACCTAGCTGAGCATCAAAACCAAGCCTGAAGGAACACATTCAGTAGGCGTGTGATGAGGCTCAGGAATCCACACACTGCAGAAGCTCTTCATCAAGGGATTCTGATGCTCAGCCAGAACTCAAAACCAGTAATAATCTGCAGTCCATGACTTCCACATGGAAACTCCCTCAGCAAGTACAGAGTATTCCTCTAGTCTTTGCACATACTGAACTTAACCATAAACAGAAATATGGACTAAAAAACAGCTGGTGTCTGACTATGCTAATCATGGAAAAAACAGAGTGATTAAGCTTCATTTTACACAATGTGTAACCTCCAACTTCTCCCAAATAGTTTTTTTCCCCCAAAATAGTTCTTTTCTAAACCTATAAACACATTGGTTTGGGCAGACTGGGTTTAATCTTCTTACTCATGATCAATCCTCTCCTGACTGTTCTAGAAGCTACAAAAAAGTTGCAAAGAGGAAGGAAAAGATTTCCTTTATTTTTTTTTTTCCCCGCGCCCGCCCCCCCCCAAAAGAAAGCCAAAGCCTAAAGTTTAAAATTCTGGATTAAGAAGTTGGTGTGGGCTAGTTAGGATTCAACCCTCAGAGAGAATAAAGGAAATAATTAAATATTCCACATGAGATTTTAATAAAGGCTTGAACTGAAGGGAAGGGCACCACCTGGTGGACTAAAGGCAGCATGACATTTCAGAGCACCCAGCTCAACTGAGCAATTTCCTCTGCCTTTTCCCCCATGGTTAAAAACAGAATTTGGATCTGGCAGGTTAGCACAGTTGGTTAGAGCACAGCCCGATAACACAAAGGTCGTAAGTTTGGATCCCCATAATGGCCAGCCGCCAAAAAAAAAAAGAGAAAATTCGATTTTGTTAGGGGGATTAGTAAAATGAGCTCAAGAAAAAGAAATACCTCATGGCATCCCTCCACCCCAGTTTTTAAGGGTAAAAATTGTGGGCAAGAATAAAATAAGCTAAGATAATGTTAATGATATTTTTACTTACCAATTTGAAGCTACAGAGGTAAAACATGAAAAACTGTACATGGCAGGAGGCGTGGGTGGGCAACAGGAGTTTGTCAAAGATGGTTATCAGATCACGATATAAATCCTTTGTTTTGTTATTATCAACCTTACCTACAGAGAAAATTTGGCATTTCAGTTCTATAAATACATATTTCCAAGCTACCATTCTCATTTGCCAAATTTTTAAGAAGAGCAATACCATTAAGAAACACTTTATCCATTAAGCCATGATTAAAACAAAATGCTGTTTTTACTCTGCACAGATTTTCCTTTTTAAGTACAATAACCCAGTACTAGAAAGGAGGTAGGCCCTCACCTCACACAATGCACTGATGCCATAAATATGAACCCCCTCACAAAAGGGCAATTCTACAATTTTCACAAAGTAGAAGCACTTTGATCAAGAATTCTACTACTAGGAATTTATCACAAGCAAGTTAAAGATGTATGTGCAAGGAAGCTCTTTACACTCTTATTTATAATGGCAAAAAAAGGGAAGAAAAAAATGAGACCAGTTAAGTCCACATGACCAATAACAATTGTTTTAAGAGTAAATGATACGAGAAAATGTCCACAATACGAGAAAAAAGCAGACTATGAAGTGCTATATTAAGTGTGATCCCCAAATCAATTAAAAAATACATTCATACACGTACACATGCTAACAGAAAAGAAAAAAAGACACATCAAAATGCTAATATGTAATGGGTTCTCTGAATAGTAGCAACGTGGCAATGTGGCCATTTAAATTGTCTTCATTGGGGCCGGCCCGGTGGCGCACTGGATAAGTGCGCCGCTTGGGAAGCGCAGCGGCGCTCCCGCCCAAGGGTTTGGATCCCACATACAGACCGGTTCCCGCTCACTGGCTGAGCGAGGCGCGGGAGCAACACCGAGGGTTGCGATCCCGTTGCCGGTCCCCGGTCCGGTACGGGGGCAACACTGAGGGTTGCGATCCGTTGCCGGACACGGAAAAAGATAAAAGACAAAAAAAAAATAATAATAAAAATAAAAATAAATTGTCTTCATCTTTTCCCATAGTTTCCAAATCTTCTCTAATCAACACTTATTTTTATAACAGCAAAAAAGCTAAAATTGTGGGCCGAGCCCATGGCGCACTCGGGAGAGTGCGGCGCTGGGAGTGCAGCAGCGCTCCTGCCGCAGGTTCGGATCCTATATAGGGATGACCACCGGTGCACTCACTGGCTGAGTGTGGTGTGGCCGGTCTCAAAAAGGACAAAAAAAAAAAAAGCTAAAATTGTATCAGTCAACTCAGATTCAAGTCCTATTATTCTGAATCGCTGAGCTCGTTCTTAAGTCTTGGCCATGTGAATGGGAAAAAATTCTGTGTTCCTTCATAGCAAAGCCTCTAGATGAGGGCAAGAAGCACTTCAGCTTGTTCAGTACAGTACCAACACCCAGCATGACGACGCTACCCAGCTAAAACTCTCTAGACTTATACATGACACCACACACCATATACTGATGCCCACCACGCCACTCTTAAACATCTCGAGCAACTTAATTTGATCTCTGCCTAAAACTGACCAAATTCAATGTACTATCATTTAATACAACCATCAGCTAGAAGATCAAGGGCTTTGAAAACAGATATGAATAAGCCTGAATCCCAATCCCACTATTTTCAAACTATGTGACACTGACAAATAACTTGACCTCTCTAAATCTCTTTTAACTCATACTCAAATGATTTTTATTAGTACAAGAGATAACATATGAGAAATGCCTAGCACAGACACAGGTACATTTTAGGTGTTCAACGAACGGTAGCTATTGTGAGTATTACAGGTTGTTACCATCTACATAGCAGACATCCTTAATGTAGGACAAAAGCAAAGAGAGCATGATGTCCAGGCGTTCAGCAACAGGATGTACCATCTGATCGAGTCGTTCGGGATCAGTCTTTGTTTCATGTTCAGTTTCTTCATCTTCATCCTTTAAGATAAAAAGTAAAAACTGACATTAAAAAATTCACTGAAAGTGGTTTAGTGGGAAAACCCTCACAACTGAGTATTTCCTTTCAAAGAAAACACAGTCACCTTCCCAGGCAGAGGCTCTCATTCAGGAACGTGAATCAGAACCACTTGCGAAGTTTCAAATAAAAGGTCAGATTCATAGCACCAGTTTCTGATTCTCATTAGCAGACCCAAATAGAGCTGGCCATGGAAACCACTGATTATCCTGCCCCTGACCCCCACTCCTGGTGCCAGGTCCCCTTTTCCAGCTCAGGGCACCTGTCTCCCAGCTGCTTTGAGTGTTGGCTGCCAGCAGCTCACAGCTGACCCCCTTCTCTAGAGAGGTGCCCTCAGCAAAAAGGGAGTCAGGACTGTCTTTCCACTCCTTCTGCACCCCTCTTCAGAAACAATGACTGACTGACAAGGGGTCAGAAGAGGCCATCTCCCTGGTCACAAGCTGGGACCAAACTCTGGAGCAATTCATGCTCCACAGCACCTGGAAGGACCAGGCTAGAGCTACTTCTAGACTGAGACCAAGTCCTCACTAAGCTCCTTCCCCTGTCCTTTCCTGCTCCCTGACACCCTCTGTCCTAAGAGCACCTGAATTCCTGTCTTGGCCTCTCCTTCCACAGAACCCAACTTCATACACCACCCCAGGTAGAAAAGTACTGTTTTAAGGCACACAACTGGCAAAATGTAGAAACTGAACCGTAGGCTTTTCTATTTATCACACCCTCAGACAACGTGTGGTTTACAAACACAGAAAATTACACAAGAAGGAAAGTGAAACATACTTCACCAAACATAAATTCAAAGCCTTGGAAATAAATCAATTATACTAGGCAATAAATAACATGTCAGTAAAGTACTCATTTAAGGAATTATTTCCAAGCTTACTGAACTATTTTAATTGTTTTAACCTAAAGCCTTGAAAAAGATGAGAAGCCACTAGCTGTCTCTTCCCACCCTCTGAAATGCTAAACTTCCCATGTCTGCTTTCCTTAATAGAAATGCTGACCATATTAAACAATCCTTCTGTAGAATCTGTCCCTCCACAAGTCTGAGCTGCTGTTTCCTCAGCATCTTCAATGTCCTGCCGGGATGCATTTACCTACATGACAACAAAGAAAAAGAATAAAAGCATTTAACATATAACTATGCTATTTTGGGGCTGAAAACCCATCTGATATACATACTTTAAAGGTAGCCAGATTAGCACCATATACAGCACTATAACACAATTATGATATGAACCTATAAATTGATCTGGGTCATGAAGGAATTTAAATATTTTAAACCAAGCCACTTTTACTAAATACTTGAATAAAATCAACATAAACTCTGATGTGACGCTCTAAATCAGCCTCAACAAACGTGACATTTATTCCATCTCTTTCTATGCACAAGATACATAAGTGCTGTGCAATAGACATATCAGTCAACTGAACAGAAAAACGATAAACTGCAAGCCAAATTTGAAGGACTAATATTTACTGTAGTATATCACACTTCAAATATCTTGCTGAACATACCACTTAAATCATGCCTTTTTTATTATCTATGTATGATCTTCCTTGTAAACATATTCTATAATGTTCCGTGAAGTACCTACAAAAGACTTTACAAAGATCACGTATGCAGTTGGCCAGAGAGGTGTAAGCACTATGCCAGCAAGCCCAACTTCCAGCTCTTCCAAAGCCTGCCTCACTACATCTTCTCACTCCCCTATAGCACATGTTTTTCTCCACCAAGACATCTATCTGCTCAGTCCACAAACCTGCTCAAGTCTCCCCAATCCCAAACCATGCCTCTCTCACCCCTGCCCAATCCCCTCCTTACACCACAAACCCTCACCGAGGTCTCTAACAGCCCCAATTCCTAACCATTCATGCTCTCCTGAAATGCACTTTCTGCCTGTGCAATGACATGGCCCTCCAGCAGGCAACAAAGGCCACCTTCTAATCACCAAATCCAAGGACTCTCGCTTTTCTATTTTTTGTCTTTTTCATGACCGGTAAGGGGATCGCATCCCTTGGTGCGGCGTGGCCCGCACCGCGCTCAGCCAATGAGCGCACCGGCCATTCCTATATAGGATCAGAACCCGCGGCGGGAGCGTTGCTGCACTCCCAGTGCCGCACTCTCCCGAGTGCGCCACGGGGTCGGCCCGGACTCTCGCTTTTCTAATCCTACTTAAAAACACTGGCAATTTCTCATGCTGCTGACCACATTCTTCCTTCCTCCAGATCCTCCCTGGGTATCCATATTGTTAGTTTTCTTCCCACTTCTGATCACCTTCCCTCTCTCATTTTAAACTGCATCATTCCACAGGTTTGTTCTCAGTCCCTCACACAGAGCTACAACTGCTCGGTGAGTATTCTCCACCTAGCTCCCCCACCAGCAACTCAACGTGTTCAAAATGGAACTCATATCTTCCAACTTCCTCCCCTTGATGTTTCTTATTGCTGTTAATGGCAACACCAGGACTCGATTCCACAGGGAGCTACCTTTGAAGCATTCCTTTCCCTTGCCCTTTGCTTCCCCACTTCCAACTGTCTCCAGGGCCAGTTAACCTTTCCTCCACAATGCTGCTGGAATCCACCACCTCCTTTCATCTCCCCTGCACCTATTGCAAGCCTCTTTAAACAGACAAAAGTTTTACTTGTTCACAATTATAATATGCACTTGTAAAAAATTTCAAACACACAAAAAAGGCATACAGAATCGCATCTCCACATCACTTCCTCAGGAATGCCTTCCTTACCCAACTACATCAGGTTCCCTAGCTCAATTTCATTCATAGCATTTTTTTTTTTTTTGTCTTTTTTCGTGACTGGTAAGGGGATCGCAACCCTTGGCTTGGTGTCGCCCGCACCGCACTCAGCCAGTGAGCGCACCGGCCATTCCTATATAGGATCCGAACCCGCGGCGGGAGCGGCGCTGCATTCCCAGCGCTGCACTCTCACGAATGCGCCACAGGGTCGGCCCCGTTCAGAGCATTTTCTACAACAGCATTTTTACATTTGCGTGGCTATGTATTTAATGTCTTGTTCTCCAATCGTGAGAGGGGGAACTGTCCATAACTCTCAGCACGTAGATGGAGTTCAATAAATGTTACAAGAAATGAAGCAAAGGATGGCGGAACTGTGGATTCTTTTCTATTGTTTCACATACTGGGATTATAACAATGACAATATAGTCAATAAATGAAAATCAACGAGAGGCTAGGGCTGGCCAGTTAGCTCAGCTGGTTAGAGCACAGCCTTATAACTTTATAACACCAAGGTCATGAGTATGGATCCCTGTACTGGCCAGCCCCCCCCCTCCTTCCCCCCCCAAAAAAAAAATCAAAGAGAAAATAGATTATTCAATACTTACATCTAACTTGAGTAGCTTTTCAATAACAAGCTCCAGAATTTCATGCCTCAAGGTTGGAAAATATACACTAATTCTTAGTAAGTTGTGAACGTAACATTCCTAAGGCATAAACCATAAAAAGATAAACATTTCAACAGAGAATAATGTTTCATAATTATGTAAGCAAAACATCAGTTACACAAGCATTAGTTCCTTGCTTTTTTTTTTTTTTTTTTAAAGATGACCGGTAAGGGGATCTTAACCCTTGGCTTGATGTTGTCAGCACCACGCTCACTCAGTGAGGGAACCGGCCATCCCTATATAGGATCCAAACCCATGGCCTTGGTGTTATCAGCACTGCACTCTCCTGAGTGAGCCATGGGCCAGCCCAACCATTAGTTTCAAATATTTAAATAGAAAAAAAGATTATCCAGCAATACAGAAACTGTAACTTCTATATATGTATTATATTCAGTATAATTATTCCAACTATCTCCAGTAAATTGAATTTATAATTTGCCTGTTTCTACAGTGTTTTTTAAATAGCTTGGGATATAATTCATATACCACACAATTCACCCATTTAAAGTGTACAATTCAAGTTTTTAGTATATTCAGAGTTGTGCAACCATCACCCTAGCCAATTTTAGAATATTTTTATCACCGTAAAAAGAAACCCCATACCCATTAGTAGTGAATCTCTATAAAAAGTACATACCAGGCAACCACTAGTCTACTTTCTATTTCTATATATTTGCCTATCCTTCACATTTCATATAAATGGAATCACATAATACATGGTCTTTTAGCATATAAACCATTCCTTTTCATTGCCAAATATTTCACTGTAGACATACCATGTTTTGTTCATCTATTCATCAGTTGATAGGACACTTGAGTTGTGTCTACTCAGACTATTACAAATGCTGCTGCTATGAACATGCTTGTACAGGTTTTCGTGTGGACATATGTTTTCATTTCTCTTGGGTATACACCTAGCAGTGGAATTGCTGAGTCATATGGTAATACTATGTTGATCTTTTTTGAGGAACTGCCAGACTGTTTTCCAAAGTAGCTGTACCGTTTTACGTTCTCACTTGTGATGTACGAGGGTACAGAAAATTGTCAACACCTGTTACTGTCCTGTCTTTTTGATTATACCCATCCTAATGGGTGTGAAGTAGTTTTGATTTCCATTTCCCTGATGGCTGATAAGGCTGAGCTTCTTTCATGTGCTTATTCTGGACAAATGCCTATTCAGATCCTTTGCCCATTTTTAACTGGGTTATCTACCCTTTTACTATTGAGTTATAAGAATTCTTTATATATAAATGTCCTTTATCAGACATATGATTTGCAAATATTTTCTCCCATTATTTGGAGTGTCTTTTCATTTTCTTGAAGGTGTCCTATGAAGCACAACAGTTTTTAATTTTGAAGTCCAATTTATTTTAATTTGGTTGCTAATGCTCCAGGCGTCCTATCTAGAAACTACTGCCTAATCCAACGTCATTAAAATTTACATCTATATTCTTCTAAGAGTTTAATAGTTTCAGCTCTTCCATTAGGTCTTTCATCCACTTTGATTTCATTTTTGTATATGGATGTCCATACACTTCAGTCTTTTGCATGTGGATATCCACTTGTCCCAGCACCAGTTGTTGAAAAGACTATTCTCCATTAAATTGCCTTGTACAGCTGTTTTTTTTTATTATTAACCTTATATCCTATAACTATGCTAAACTCATTAGCTCTAATGGGTTTTTTGGCAGATTCCTTAGGATAACTTGTAAAGTCACATCATCTGCAAGAGTTTTACTTCTTCCTTTCCATCTGGATACCTTTTAATTTCTTGCCTAACTGCCCGTGGTAGACAAGTGGCAAAAGCAGACTCCTTGTTTTGTTCCTTATCTTACGGGAAAGCTTTCAGTCTTTCATCACTGAATAAGATGTTTGTGGGATTTTCATAGATACCCTTTATTAGTTTGAGAATGTTCTGTTTCTGACATGAAAGCGTTCTGGTGTATGTCAAACACCTATTGAGATGATCATGTGGTTTTTGTCCTTTATGGATGTGGTATAACATATTAATTGATTTTGGGATATTAAATCAACCTTGCATTCCTAGGATAAATCCCACTTGGTCTTGGTGTGTAATTCTTTTTATATGTTGCTAGATTCAGTTTCGCAGTATTTGTTGAAAATTTTTGCATCTACATTCATAAGATATATGGTGTTTTATAATATTCCACTTGAAGCAGACTATCACAAACATTAGCAAAAGTTATTAACTCCTTATTTAATATATGTAATATCTTATTTAGGAAAAAATAATCTATGCTTAGAAGGCAACCACTATTAATTATTGAAAACTACACAGATGATCTAAATATTGCACAAAAACTTAAGGAGAATTCATGTATAAAAAGTTCTGCTTTCATGTTCAAATAAGGCATGTTTATAATTAGTAATATATGGACTATTATCTTCTAGTAATTTTTATTTATTTATTTTTAAAAGATGACCGGTAAGGGGATCTTAACCCTTGACTTGGTGTTGTCAGCACCACGCTCAGCCAGTGAGCGAACCGGCCATCCCTATGTGGGATCCGAACCCGGGGCCTTGGTGTTATCAGCACCGCACTCTACCGAGTGAGCCACGGGCCGGCCCTATCTTCTAGTAATTTTTATGTGTACAAGCATTAAGGCTCTAAAGATATTTCTGAGATGGACTCTGACCTTGACTTGCACATAGTAGTAAGATAAAAAGGGACTGGGAATCCCTAGTAGTCACACTAAGAAAGGAATCTGAGTCAAATTCTTAGTCTTAAGTTCAAAAGCTGAAGACAAAACAATTTCTAAGAAAAAGACCTAGGGCCGGCCCGGTGGCGCACTGCTACAGTGTGCCGCTTGGGAGCATGGTGGCGCTCCCGCCGAGGGTTCGGATCCCACATACAGACCGGTTCCCGCTCACTGGCTGAGCGAGGTGCGGAAGCAACACCGAGGGTTGCGATCCCGTTGCCGGTCCCGGTCCGGTACGGGGGCGACACTGAGGGTTGCGATCCGTTGCCAGACACGGAGAAAAAAAAAGAAAAAGACTTAACATCCTATAAAGCAAAATCACACAAAACAACTTTTCCATTATTTTCACCAAGAAAAGATTTCTTACCAATGTTCTCTCTGATTTTCGAACAAATGGAAATTTTTCCACCAGTATTGGCATGAGAAACCACGGTGTCCTTTTAAAAAAAAAGTTCAACCAATTCATGTTAACTAGACTTTCTAGAAAGGTTACATTTCCATTCTTCTTTTTCTTTTTTTTAAGATTTATATGTGGGGTTTTTTTTCCTTTTTTTTTTTTATTGTGGTAAAACATATGAAACATAAGGACTGCCATTTTAAGCATTTTTAAACATACAATTGTGCAGAATTACACTCACAATGCTATGTAACCACTACCTCTATCTACTTCCAAAACTTTTTCATCATCCTAAACTCTGTACCCATTAAGTAATAACTTCTCATTTTCTTATTATCTCTCCCCCTTCCCACCCCCAGTTTCTCATAATCTCTAATCCACTTCTGTCTCTGAAATTTTTTTTTAAATTGACCCATGATAATTGTATATATTTATGGAGTACAATGTGATATTTTGATACATTCAGACAGTGTGTAATGATCATATCGGGATATAAAGCATATCCATCACCTCAAATATTTGTCACGTCTTTGTGTTGGGAACATTCAACATCCTCTCAACTAGCTACTTGAAGCTATACAGTAATTTGTTGTTGACTGCACTCTCCCTATATTTGCTATTGAATACTAGATTTTATTCTTCCTATCTCTCTACAATTTTGTATCCATTGACCACCTTCTCCCCATTCCTCCTCCCCTTACAAGTCTCTATAACCACTATTCTACTCTCTACTTCTATGAGATTGACTTTTTTAGCTTCCACATGAGTGAAAACATGCCATCTTTCTCTTTCTGCAGCTGGCTTATTTCACTTAACATAATTTTCTGTAGCTCATCCACGTTGCTGCAAATGGCAGAATTTCATTTTTACAGCTGAGTGGTATTCCATTGTGTATATATACCACATTTTCTTTATCCAATCATCAGGATAACATTTCCATTCTAAGAGCAAATATGAGAATGGATAGACACAGGAGCAAATAACAACCACTACCTCAAGCAAATGGAACTTAAAATGAATGTATAACTTCAGAGAAAATCTGTAATTACTTAGGGGAAAATAAGCTTCTATTAACTATTATATCAACAGCTCATCAAAGATGGAGCTTTTTTTGCAAAAGCTTAATAGAGCTTCAGTTTGAAATCTAAACATTTCCCACTACGTAATATAATTTTTAAAAAGGGGAGAATTATCAACTTGAGTTTAAGTCAAATAATAAACTTACAGAGGTAACTAGAAGTCCAACCCTCCAAAAGAAACCCACAAACCTGAAAAGCTTTTCTTAGAACTGGAGTTTTTATTCATATGGCATGACACAAACACTCAGAGATTTCTCACTGAAAAATTTTGAGTATCATATCTGTTGAAGATAAAAGCAAAATTCCAACCACTATACAAAATTTGGGGGAGAATTTATATATGAGGTTTGAAAAATAATAAAAAACAATGAATAAAAACAGAAATGTCATTTTCTATAGAATGTGATGTTTCATCAACAGGATACAAAAAACAAAGGATAAGACTCAAGTTTTGATGTTACTGGTATTTTATAATTTTCTACTAATTGATTATAATTTTCTTGAGAATTCAGCACCATGAATCAAAATCAGTAACAAAAGTATACTCACGATGGGACATATCTTGCTATTATTTGCAAGGCTCTGTGACATGTATCAAAATTTGCAGGAAGATCTACAAGCAGAAAAGTTGAGATTATGAACGAACATCAAAACAAAACTGAAAACTGAAAAATTATGTATGTGAAGCTAAAAATACATGCTAACCAAAACTGAATAATTTGTCAGAGAAATAATAATTTCAACCAACTACTGATGAAGACTAAATGGACTAGTTACATTAAGTAATGAATTTAGGTCAGCTGATTACATATTAATGCAAAATATAACAAAAATATTCTGTCAAAGGTTGTCACTTGTTGCTGTCTACTTAACTAGACTAGGTACCAGTATATTTTACCATTCAGCATGCATTTTTTAAGACACAGGAGACATTCTTTGCTTTAATCCTTTTCATACTTACTATCATCTTCATCATCAGAATCTGAAACGTCTATGTTGCCTTCCTTAATGATCACTCGGGCTTTTGAGGGAAAAAGAAATTACATTAATCTGTCATTGACTAAGAAAATAAACAGCTATACAAAAGAACTATTTTCCCATAGTGCAAACTCAGCACAATAATTAGATTACAATCTGAAAAAAAGGCAATTGCGGGCCAAGCCCGTGGTGCACTCAGGAGAGTGTGGCGCTGGGAGCACAGCAACGCTCCCACCGCGGGTTCGGATCCTATATGGGGATGGCCAGTCACCGCTCACTGGCTGAGCACAGTGCGGCCAGTCTCAAAAAAAAAAAAAAAGGCAATTGCATAGTTTTTAAAACAGCCCCCAATTCCTAGATGAGTTCTAAGACTTCATCAGAAGCTCACTAAAGCAGATTACAACCCATAAAAATCACAGCAACTGAGCTGACTAATTAGCTCAGCTGGTTAGAGCACGGTGCTGATAACGCTAAGGTCCAGGGTCCAATCCCTCTACTAGCCAGATGCACCCCCCAAAAAATATCACAGCAACCAATCAATCTAGACACCTCCACAGGGGCCCTTATAAGGAACAGATGTCTACTAGAACTCATGACAATACGATCTGGAATCTTCATGGTAAAATCTCCAATGTGTAAGGGGAAGGTAGTATTTTAATAAAGAGATGTTTAAAACAAAGAAATATCAAAGCAAGCAAAAAGTAACCACTTACGAGGTACAAAATGGGAAGCAATCATGCTGAGACATGGTCTAAGGAAGACAGTCTGTGCTGATACAAGATTCCCAAGAAAAGCCAAATATTCCTCCACCACTGTTTGACTTCTATTCAACCAAGGCAATCTCTAGAATTGGGAGAAGATAATAGAGACATTTTGCCGATATAATATATTCTATTTTCAATCTATTTTCTTTTTTTTTTTTTTTGTCTTTTGTCTTTTTCCGTGTCCGGCAACGGATTGCAACCCTCAGTGTTGCCCCCGTACCGGACCAGGGACCGGCAACGGGATTGCAAACCTCGGCGTTGCTCCCGTGCCTCGCTCAGCCAGTGAGCGGGAGCCGGTCCGTATGTGGGATCCGAACCCTCGGGCGGGAGCGCCACCGCGCTTCCCAAGCGGCGCACTACCCAGTGCGCCACCGGGCCGGCCCTCAATCTATTTTCAAAGTATTTATTTACATACTAGTCAGTGAAATAAATGATGAACTTACCAATAGAATATTGATAAGCTGTTCAAAATCTTTTGTCAAGTACATGATACAAGAGCGAAATTCTAGCAGCCAGTTAATGATCTGATCATCCTTAAACAAAGAAACAGAGAAGATTATATCTACCTTTTATCAATCATCTGTCAATAAAATTTAAGTTAGGGGGAAAAAGTCACAAACTTGGAATTGAACCAAAATTGGGTATCAAAACAGAAAAAAAGATATCACAATAAACTTTCCTATGAAAAAAAAATTACTCTAGTAACTCAACATACAGAAAAATAAATGTAATAGTTTAGCCGGATCACTCTTGTTCGCCCTTAAAAAGTAAAAACATGTCAAATGTTGACTTCTGGAACTTTTTAAAATTGCAGAAATATAGCAGATTCAGGAGTTCCAGTCAAGATGGCAGACTAGACAGTTCCCAGTGTCATTCTCTCCCACAAATCAACCAAATTTACAACTAAAAAATGTAACATCTGCCAAGCTGGGGCCGCTGGAGCTCAGGGGAAGAGGAGGAGAGACCTACAGAGTTCTTGAAGGCAGGAGAAACTACGATGAGAGAAAGAAAAAGCTGCTCTGAGCATTTCAGACTGCGGCTGCTTTAAGGCTCGAGCTGATGAGCACATGGAGCTGGAGCTGGCAGAAGCTGAAGCTGTGCCCTTCAGATGGAGTTACTCGGAGGCAGCAGGGGAGAAGAGGACCTTGGCAGCCCCCAGGACAGCAAGACCACTAATAGGTTTCCCATGGACCCACGCAGGAGCAAGGAGCTAGAACAACTGAAAAAAGGGAGCCATTCAGAGGCCGGTGAGTCATCGCAATGGAACAGTGCAGGGCACATCCCATGGGAATTGTTTGGAGCATGGGCGGTGGGCGATATGGGAACACCGGGAGAACACTGGGACACAGCAAGGACAGCCGACCTGCCCCCCAATCAGCACAGGACCACTCAGAGGAGACTGGTCAGGAATGCAGAATTGCATGGGGTGCAGTTTGATGAAAAAACTCAGGCCCAGATCAGAGATTCTACAGAACACAGATCCACTGGGTCTCTGGAGAGCCGGAAGTACCTATAAGGTCAACCATTAAACCCTGAGCTGCATAAAAAGTCTTCCCTAGGGAAACAGCAGCAAAGTAGCAATTTAAACAACCACAGCTCAAGTACTGGTTCCCACAGGAAGTTCCCCCATGTTAGAAGCAAAGGACAAAAAATTAGTTCGAGCCCAGGCACACCACCAGCACCTTGGGGCCTGCCTGGGAACCGGAGGCTTGGATCCAGGGACTGGACCCCACTCCCACTTCCAGGCAAACTGCACCAGTCCCTCAGGGCCTGCCCAGGGACCCGGGGCATGGATAAGGGGACTGGACCCCCCTTCCACAACCAGGCACACCAAGCCAGTGCTTCAGGTCCCACCCGGGGACCCGGGGTCTGGAGTCAGGGACCAGACCACCCTCCAACAACCAGGCACACCATGCCAGCACCTCGGGGTCCGCCCAGAGAACCAGGGCATAGAGAAGGGGACCGGACCCCTCTCCCACAACCAGGCACACCACGCCAGCACCTCGGAGCCGCCCAGGGACCCGAGGCATGGAGAAGGGGACTGGACCTCTCTCCCACAACCAGGCATACCAAGCCAGAGCCTTGGGGCCTACCCAGGGACTTGGGGCATGGAGAAGGGGACCAGAACACCCTCCCACACCAGGCTCAAAACACCAGCACCTCGGGACCCACCTGGGTACCCGAGGCATGGAGAGGTGGACCGGACCCTCGTTCCACAACCAGGCACATGGCTCCAGCACCTTGGGGCCCACCCAGGGACCTGGGGCATGGACCCAGGAACTGGACCGTCCTCCCACAACCATGCCAGCACCTTGGGGTCTGCCCAGGGACCCGGGGCATGGCGCCAGAAACCCAGGGCATGGAGCCAGGAACCAGACCCTCCTCCCACAACCAGGCACATGGCGCCAGTGCCTTGGGTCCTGCCCAGGGACCAGAGGCATGGAGAAGGGGACCAAACACACCCCACAACCAGGCATAATGGCAGTGCCAAGGAGAGTGCCAAAAACAGTACCTCCACGTGGGTGGCCCTCCACAGCCACCACAATAACCATGGCTGCCGCAAAAGTGGCTAGACGCCACAACCACCACGCAGATGGTCCACCAACCACTGGAGCATGCACACAAGAAGAGTCACAAGCAGAGACAAAGAAAAGGAAAGGATGTCTCTTTCCACAAAACTCATTTCAGAGTGACAGAAGAAGCATCTGCTCTATGATAATATTGGGGGACATGATCACATCTCTCAGCATTGGACAGATCATCTAGGCAACAAATTAACAGAGTAACCATTATTCTTTCTGAAGGAGAGAAGAAATCTAGGGTTATCAGTGGTGGGAGGGTGAGGGAGGTGGGAAGGAGAGTGGGATGGGGAGAGATTGGACAAGGGGTATAAAGAATAATTACGATTTGTAACAATATATATGCTAGTAATATTGATTTAATCAACATATCTCAATGTTCAACCCCAAAAATATGTACAATCGATTTTGATTCAATAAATAAGAAAAAAAAAAAGAAAAATTAATAGCAGATTCAAATATTAGAAGACGACGAAGGACCAGTAGCTACATCTATTTCCTCCATATTCAAGCTGACCAGAAAGCATGTTGATAACATTCAGTCAAGGCTGATTAACTAGAGTCATCAATAAATATAACTTCTCCTAAATCCAGCCTGTGGCTGGGTTCAAATGTATTAAGATGTCTTCTGTATAAATGATGGTCCACTACATGAAATATTTTTCAGAAAATAAAATTACTGTTCATAATAATTTTTGGTGACATGAGAAAAATTGCTAAACAAAAAACCCACAAAAATCCATGTATACAATATATTATTTATGTAAAATAAAAATATTATTTATTTTCATGCATATATACAACATATAAAAGAAAAAACTATAAGAAAAAGCCCCTCATTTGTGAAAGAAAATGGTCAATGCTCATTTAGACCCAGTAGGAGAAAGAGACATACAAATAAAAGCCATACAATGTCTTACCTACAGCAACAGACTATTAATAGGGAGTACCATTTAGTGAGAGCACACCATTTGCCAGGCATGGTGTTCAACACTATATGTATGTCTTTATCTAATTCTAAAAACTCTACAAGATGATAAGCTACTCCTGTTTTACAGTGGAGAAATTTGAGATTAAGGGAGATTAATAAGCAACTTGCCCAACCAAGAAGCCAGTAAAAAACCAGGTTCAAACCTGTACTTCACAGTCAAAGCTGTGCACCACCCACTCTCCCACAGTGCCTTGCTCTGTGCAGAGAAGGAGCTACCACCTTTCCCCACCTTCACTCAACTGCTGAGTGCTTTCTATGCCTTATGTGACAAACTTATGGGACTGGCCATTTTCTGATAAAATCCCAAGTAACTTGGCTGTAAAATAAATACATCACAACTCATTTGCACTGTGGTAATTTCATAATGTTCACAACGCTTAAGAATAACACTAAGGGCTGAGGCATGAACAAGACAAACTAAGTTATAGGCAAATAAAGACGAATAAGATTTATCCTAGCCCTCTTATACCAAAAAAGAGTACAACAGAATTACTAGGATAAAATTTAAATGCTCCATTGTAAAAAGTAAACCACTGCCAGACTTTGGTGCATTAGCATTAAACCATTATTAGAAGCAAACTACTTGCAACACTCCTCTGAACTAACAGAAACACAAGTGGTGTATGATTCTTGATATGTCAGCACCATGCTCAGCCAGTGAGCCAACCGGCCATCCCTATATAGGATCCGAACCCGTGGCCTTGGTGTTATCAGCACCGCACTCCTCCGAGTGAGCCACGGGCCAGCCCTGATTCTTGATATGTCAGCACCATGCTCAGCCAGTGAGCCAACCGGCCATCCCTATATAGGATCCGAACCCGTGGCCTTGGTGTTATCAGCACCGCACTCCTCCGAGTGAGCCACGGGCCAGCCCTGATTCTTGATATGTCAAGATACCAAAAATGAGAACTGCTAATATAAAATGCAGCAAAACACAAAGAAAATGGCCCTTTGTACCTGTAAAGAAGGCAGGGACTAGGAAAAGCTTTAAAGAGGAAGTGACACTTCGCTACCTTTAAATAATAACAGAGTGAATATTTTCCGGGGGTTATATTTCTTACAAAAGGAAAAGCATGTTTTCGGAAAACTGAAAGTAATTCTGAATGGCTGGAATATATATATATATATATATATATATAGTGTAACCAAGACAGCTAAATTTGGGGCACGAAGAAGGGCCAGACTGATCATGGAGGGCCTTGTAAGCCAGATCTGTAATTAGAAAGATCTGCTGGAAGCGTGAACATGGAGTAAATGAAGGAACAACAATCTGTTTAGAGAAAACCAGGGAAAGCTCCATTAAAGATGATGACATTTCAGCTGGGTTTCAAAGAGAGAGTAGTTTTGTAGATTCCAGTAATAATGGGAATAATAATAGTAAACACTGACACAGCATTTACTGTGTGCTGGGCACTGTTCTAAGACTTTAACATATACTATTAAATGAATATTTAGCCCTTACAACCACTCCATGAGGTAGGTACTACTATTGATTCCCATTTTGTAGATGAGGACACAGAAGTGCAGTAACTTGCCTTTGGTCACATAACTAGTAAGGAAAGAAGCAATGTAGCCAGAGCCCATGCTCAAACAGGTAGCAAATAAAGTGGACACAGAAAGAAAAGGGACATGCAAAGGCATAAAGATGAAAAGAAAAGACAAATTCTGGGACTAAAGTATTTAATGAAATTGAACATAGAAAAAACTGTTGCAGGCCTTGCTAAGAATCTGGTCCTTTATTTTTCCATAGACATGAAGTTTTTTTTACTAGGGAAATTACATGCTGAGACATGTGCTTTGGAGAGATGAGTCAGGCTACACTGTTGAGGATAACTTTGGGGTGGGGGTAAAGGGTTGAGATAGTGGAGGATTGGAACCTAGAGACCACTTAAGAGGTTATTGGAAGAATCCAGACAAGAGAGCACCAATAAAATGGGAAAACATGAAAGAATTTTTTTCCTCAAAGGATTTAGTGAATAAACAGATATGAGAAGTGAGAAAATCCAGAAAGACTCCAAGATTCCAAAGCCATGAGGGCACAAGGAGATCTCACAAGAAGAATTTGCAGAATGAGACGAAGGTTAAGTTTGGAATCAAACCAAATTTAAATTGATAGCAAATTTTAAAAGAACCTATCAAAAAGAATGATTAGAGATAAATGATCAGAAGACAGGAGGATTGAAGACACTGAAGGAGAGGTTTAAGAAGTAGGTATTTGTACAAAGTGGCAATAACTTTGCTAATGATCAAACACAAAATTATTTACCTTTATATGTGGATCTGACAGCTGGTTCTTCAACAACTCAAAGTCATTTTTTTCACCCTTAACAAGAAGGGGAAAAAATTAAGTTATGCTTGCTTTGGTTTCCTGTTAAATATCAACTGCAAGACTTTTAACTATACCTTAACATCTGACAAAATTACAAAAGGAACATTTTAACTTTCACACATCGATTGCGGATTATAAACTCATGATTAAAACCTCATGTTACTGGAGCCAGGCAACTTTAAAAAAAGAAAATGAGAGGGCCGGCCCAGTGGCGCACTGGAGAGTGCGCCGCTTGGGAGCGCGGCGGTGCTCCAGCCGAGGGTTCGGATCCCATGTGGAGACCAGTTCCCGCTCACTGGCTGAGCGCGGTGCGGGCGCAACACCGAGGGTTGCGATCCTGTTGCCAGTCCCCGGTACAGGTGCGACACTGAGGGTTGCGATCCCGTTACCGGTCAGTAAAAAAAGACAAAAAGAAAAAAAAAAAAAGAAAGAAAATGAGAAATAACAAAAAAGCCTTCATACTCAGGTATATTTGCATACTGACATTTAAATATGATAGTTGATACTCAGAATTCTCAAAAAGCAAGAGGAAAAAATTGCTGTAATGATCTAATTCAGGGGGAACTAAGATAGTATCCATTCATATATGTATATGGATATAAACAGCTATCACACATAAATGTACAGTCATTTACATTTTTTCTCTATTGCTGAGATTTAGTAGAATCACTTCTAAACTAGCAAACAAAAACCTCTATTAATAGAGATGATTTATTGTCCAAATACTTAGGTAATTCCTTAAGAAATAAAACGTTCTTAGTTTTTCATTCTAGCACTTGCTAAAGTTCTTAAAAGATACTATGTAAATAAATCATTTGAAGAGGTGAAACCTTAAGACATCGTTACCTTAATTTTGGCAGGGGAGAGTGGCAGGCAGCCCGCTGGTATGGGGATCCGAAACTTGATCTGGGAGTTATCAGCACCACACTCTACCAAGTGAGCTAACTAGCCAGCCCATCATTACTCTAATTTTGAGCTGACATCATGATGCTGTTAAATATTTGACTTCAATACTGGTATCTGAAATTCATTTTATGTCTTTTGGTCTTTAGTATAACAGCTATAGTTGTATTCTCACTGACAAAAACTAACCTCACACATATCTCCTCTTACCTTTTTGTACTTTAGCAAGACTTCTGCCACAGTTCCACCAAACCGAACAGTTTTTCTTGGGGGAGAATTGAAGAAATCATTCTCTAATGCAAGCATATCTGAAATTCTTAGAACCAAGATTACCAAGCTATTAAACTCATGACAGAGAATAATAAAAACTGTAATAGCTAACGTTTACTGAACCAACATCATTCAGTACTTAGACTACTGCTAATGCTTCTTGACTGTTCTCCTTGCTGCCACACTTATCCCCCAAAGATCCATCCTTTACTCAGCAACCAAATGATCTTTCAAAAAGTGTCTTCCTGCTACACTCAGAATAAAAATCCAAACTCCTTACTGTGGTCTTCAGGGCCTGCATTAATCTGGCCGCTGTCTGCCTCTCTTGACCTCATCTCCAACCACTTGTTTTACTGCAGCCACAGAAGTGTCGTTTCTGTTCTTCACACTTGCCAATCTGCTTCCCATTTCACTTGCAGTTCACTCTACTGAAAACACTCTTCCCAGATCTATACATGGCTGGATTCTTGTGTTCATTCAAGTTGAAGCCCAAATGCCAGAGAGGCCTTCCCCACAGAAATCTAAACTACTCAAACCCCCCTTCCCTCCCCCATTACCTGGTTTTATAATTTCACAGCACTTATCACTATCTGAAATCATCTTGTTCATTTTATTGGCCTATCTACTGTCTTTCTCCCTAGACTGTAAGCTCTGTTGAGAGCAAGGATGACGTCAGTCTCTTTGGATGGACTCCTGTCCCTAGTATCTAACACAGTAAGTAAAAGTTCAATAAATATTGTGAATGAAATTATACTAGGTTTGCTTAATTTAAATAGATTAGGTTGGCGAAGAAAACATAACATCCCACTAATGACTCTGAAAGTTAAACCCCAAGCGTTTTATGGATATTAGAAACTTTAAAAGTGGAGGAGCAAAATAAAGATCGTTAAACAAATGTGTCGCAACAAACTTCAAACAAAAAAATTTAAGAATCAATTTGCTATCAGTGAAGCATTCAGCTGATAACCCAAACAGCCCAGGAACCCCTTCCAAATCCAGACGAAGAAGCGGGAGGGAAGAGGAGTAAAGGAGCCCCAGGCCTCGGACGCTGAGAGGGAGCCCAGTGGGGAGAACGGGGACCTCTGGAACAGAGGACAGACTCACTTTTCCAAACCGCTCCTAACTCCACCACCCACGTAAAGGGAATGTGCTCACTCCCGGGAACCCGAGATGACACTCTCCCCCTGCCCCGGCCACACTCCACTAGCTCTGTCCCGGGCCTTTTCAGATGCACTGCCGCAACCTGGTCCCAGACATGCAGAAGGCAGCGGCCCGCATCTCACCCAGTCCTCGAAGCGCCCAGCGTGGTGACCGCAGAGGCCGCAGCGACCGCATCCCCAGGCAACCGCGTGTGAAGGAGCGGGGCCGCCATCGGGCCGGGCTAACGCGACGACTGCGCCTCGCGCCGGAAGTCCTATCCCTTCCAGCTACCACCTCTGTCCCGGAAGTCCCGCCTACAAGCAGCGAACTTCAGCCAATCAGGGCCGACACGTGGGCAGAGCATAGTGATCTCGGAGGGCTAGAGCGCCGCCAAAGCTTTCTCTTTCCAGCCATCAGGCGCTTCCTACGCGGAGGACTTTCTCCGCGTAGCGAGACTGGGCCCGCTGAGGGCGGTCTCCACTGTAGGGAGGATGGGAAGGGCCTCCTCTCTCCAGCCCGAGGATCCCAAAGAAAGGGTGCAAATACCCAGGAGGTGCTAAGCGGTGGCCGAGTTCCCCCGAGTACTAATTTTTTGCAGTCAAAACCACCCGCTGTCAAACTGAAGAAATTGAATCCCTGTGATTAACCCAAATCCTCACAGAGGAAAGAGGATTCGAACTTGGCCGCGTGACCCAAAAGCCTGAGCTCCACACCTACTGCACTATCTTCTCAGACACCCAAGATAATTCGATCCTCATGGAAACAGGTTCACCGAAGTGACCTACCCAAAATCCTCAGGGCTGTAGTGATGCTGGGATGAAAGAGGAGAAAGAGGAGACAGTTTCCAAGAGGCGTCACCCCATTAAATTAAATTTCCAAAGGAGGAACAGGACTCGGCCAGACCAGCAAAGCAGCAAAGGGTATTCCAGGCATAAGGAACAGCAGAGGCCAAGGCTTGGGGGCTGCGAGGGATGCAGAGAAAGAGGAGGGACCATCCCTCCCCTCAGTTTTTTTTTTTTTTTTTGGGGGGGGGGTTCTATTAAAGATGACCGGTTAGGGGATCTTAACCCTTGACTTGGTGTTGTCAGCACCACTCTCTCCCAAGTGAGCCACAGGCCGGCCCTCCCTCAGTTTCTAAGAGGGGAAAATGTTGCAACTTTTGGAAACTGTATAGAGCTATCAAAAATGCATAAAACCAGGTATGGCAACTTGCTAAATATAAAGTGTCAAGTTCTATTTTGCAACAGTGTGAAATCAGTAAACTTTCTGCTGTATCCATTTGATCCTCACTGCTATACAGTTCCTGGGAAATGCTGGGCAAAAATCATCATTGTCCCACGAGCAGAGAAAATAATTGCACCCTCGCTCATGAAGATACTTCAGGATAGCTGTTTAAATAGGACGCTCTTCCTCTCCACCCCTAGAACAAAACAAAAGCAAAAACCCGGCCACAGTTCATCGCAGTACAAGTGTAACCATGCTGTCAAGCAATCTGACAATTACTTTATTCTTTCATTTAAAAAAAGTCCAACACGTACAAAATAATATGTTAATGTAAATTATAAAACGTAAAACCAACACCTGTGACTGTGCCACTCAATTTAAGAAACAGAACATTAACCTGTATGTGCTAATGAAGCTTCCTGTGTGCTCCTGCCAGATCCCACCTTTTCCCTCCTTTCCTCTCAAAAGTGATCACTATCCTGATTTTTTTTAAAAGATCATTTTAGCTTTTATGTAATTACCGTATATATTCCTAAACAATATACTACTTTTGCTTGTCTTTGAATTTTATAAAATTATTTCCATGTTGCATTATACTGCTGCTTGTTTTCAATCAACATTATGCTTCTAAAATCCATCTCTGTTGTATGTAGTTGTGGTTCATTTTCTTTGCCATGTAGCTTTCCATTATATGACTATATATAATTTATTCATTTTTTTTATCACATTTAAATGGTTTCCTTTCGACATTGTTGGGTGGGAGGGAGGAGAGGGAGGAGGGAGGGGGGTTTCAGTAATGGGCCACAATAATCAACCTCATTGTATATCGACAAAATAAAATTAAGAAAAATAAAATAAAATAAATGGTTTCCTTTCTTTTCTCCGCCCCTCCACTATTATGTAAATTGATGCTATGAATATTCTTACAGAGTGTTCTGATGCATATGTGGTAGCATTTTTCTAGGTTTGGAGGGGTACACAAGACACCGCCAAAAGCTTTACAAAGTGACTCTGCCAATATACACTCACAGCAATATCTTCTTAAGCTTGAGTGCAGCTTATTTTCCCAAAGCAGGGCTAAGAGTAGCCTGCCATGTTTAAAATTTTAAGTGGAACCCTGAGCATAATACAAGAATCAAAATTAAAACTAAATAGCATAATTCACTGTTCGAGTTCTTAGGTCATGTCCGTTTTGGGGGGAGCCTCTCTACTCAGTCACCCTGTTTAACAGGCCAACTTATCTTGCGAGGATGAAAGTCTCCTTTACCCAGTCTTCCCCTCCCCAGAGTTCCATCTTCCTTTGTCTCCAGCCCTAATCAAAGAAAATAAAGACCTTCCCTGTTAAAATGAAAAACAACAAAAAAAGCAAACAAGCATTAACATGCTACCTGCAAAGGCACAACCTTGCCCACAATGTAGCTGTTCTTTTACATCACTGTACATTACATTGTCCATAACTGTTCTGAGCTTCTTCGTTCCAGAATGAATTTTTGCTTTATTTTTATATACCCAGAAGACCCATTAAACTGGTTTTTCAAAAAAGCAGTCTTCCCTTAGAGGTAAATTTTACAACCATCCCTAGAGTAGTTCTGTTGGTTAAAGCTTCTTGGCTTGCTAGTAACAGAAACTTAACTCAAGCTAGCTTAAGCTGTGTATCATTACACTCTGGTGTAAATTTTGATATTTGGTATGCGTCAGAATGGAGTTTTCTTTTCTTGTGCAGATGACTAAAAAGCATAGAGTCTTCTATGTTTATATGGTGCCATGAAGTATAACTCATATAAAATGGAGGAAGGGTATGTTATCAGATTAAACGTGATTAATTTTTAAAAGTTTTTATGTCTGAAACTGTTTCATTAGTTTTGCTGATAGAATTTCATCCTTTAGAGCCTGAATTCACATGGAGCAGGATTCAAATCCCAGCTTTGTCATTTACTCTCTTACTTTTGGCAACTGCTTCACTGTCTCAGAACTTTAGTCTCTTTATCTATAAAATGGGAGTAATTTATTTTTTTGAACTATTTTAGAACTATTGTAAGGATTAGAATAGAGCACATAAAGCACAAACCACAAAATATGTGAAAATGTGTAGGATACAATAGGTGAGTAGGTTCTTATTAAATGACTAGTATTTCCCACTTATTTTACTGTAAATATGAGATAGACTGGGATACTTGATGTAGCTGCAGTCAGATAAAACTGACCTGTGAGGCAGACAGAGATATTGATATTGTCTTAGTCTGTTTGTATTGTTATAACAAAATACCTGAGACTGGGTAATTTATAAACAACAGAAATTTATTTCTCAAATTCTGGAGGCTGGGAAGTTCTAGATCAATCAAGGAGCCAGCAGGTTAACTGCCTGGTGAGGGCCCAGTGGCTGCCTCCAAGAAGGCACCCTGTTGCTGTGTTCTCTGGAGAGGACAAATGCTGTGTTCTCACATGGCAGAAGGGACAGAAGGGCACAAAAGAGCCTAGCTAGTTCCCTCCAACCCTTTCACAAAGTCGGTAACTCCATTCATCGGGGCAGAGCTTCCTAAAGGCCCCACCAAAATACTATCACATTGGCAATTACATTTCAATATGAATTTTGGAGGACACATACAGCAGATAAATAGTAAAAAAGAAAAAATTTCATAAATTGCCCACTAATGGTAAAACTTCACATATTTAGCACTTCATTACTTCAAATACAGTTTTTTTCCCACAGGAAACAACTTTTTTTTTTTAACTTTTTATTTTAAAAACTGCAACTGATGACTGATTATTTAGGACTTGGTTATCTAGTTATGAACTATTTAGCCCCTTAATTTCCTGCCGTGCAATAGAAACAGGAAGAAAAGAAATGACGTGTGTAGAGACTGAACCATCTTTGTGTTCCCTGCAGACTACATACTAACCTAGCACTTAGTATTACTAAATAAAAAATAAAGCAATTTTAAAACTTTTTTAGTAAGTCATTTTAAAAGTCTTGGGTAAGACCAAAGGTAAAAATGAGACCCTTTGAGCTCTCTTATTTTGTTTCACATTGTCACTATCCCTAGCCTTTTCACAATTGAGTTTTGACTATGGGAGAGAAATTAAATGCTTAGAATAGAGGTGAATAGAACACACATTGATTCTTATTCAGACTAATGTCAAGTATGATCTTAATTACTAGAAGAATAAAACTAAGTTCAAAATACTTAAGTATATTTTATATGTCCTATGAAAGGAACAAAAGAAGAGATGATTCCAGACTTCAAGGATTTTCAAACTTGTAAAATCACATTTTAACTTGCCTTATTAACAACTTTAAAAAAACTTGAAAAGGGGGCAAAAGGCGAAGGTATAAAACAATGTGTAAAATCCTAACATTTACATTTTTTTTTAAAGTACAAATCCATATATATTGGATTATGCATAACCTCTCTGGATGGATACACCATTCACAAATAATGATTGTTTCTGGGAAAGGAATATGGAGGATTGGGAGATCAGGAATAGGAGGAAAACTTACTTTTCACTGTATAGCCTTTAGTATTATTTCAATTTTTTTTTTTTTGAACCACATTCATGTACTACTTTTTAAAAAGTAAAATGTTCTGGGCCGGCCCAGTGGCGCACTGGATAGTGCGCTGCTTGGGAAGCGTGGCGGCGCTCCCGCAGACCGGTTCCCGCTCACTGGCTGAGCGAGGCGCGGGGGCAGCGCCGAGGGTTGCGATCCCGTTGCCGGTCCCCGGTCCGGTACGGGGGCAACACTGAGGGTTGCGATCCACTGCCGGACACGGAAAAAAAGACAAAAGACAAAAAAAAAAAAAAAAAACAAATTCAAAACTCTAAGATGATTTTTTTTTTGGCACTTGGCCAGTACAGGGATGGAATCCTGGACCTTGGTGTTATCAGGACCATACTGTAACCAACTGAGCTAACCATCCAGCCTAAGATGATTTTTTTTTTTTTTCGTGTCCTGCAATGGATCGCAACCCTCAGTGTTGCGCCGGTACCAGACCGGGACCGGCAACAGGATCGCAACCCTCAGCGTTGCACCCGCACCTCGCTCAGCCAGTGAGCGGGAACCGGTCTGTATGTGGGAT